AGGGACATAACATCATGCATTATTGTTGTTAATAAAGCAAGATCGTGTGCTTGTAAATTAAAGTACTTGATTCTTTGACTAGTGAATGTGGAATTTTTTTATTTTTTTTACTTTTCGAAAAAAATGGGTTGGTCGGGCGATGGGAAATGAAACATTTTATTGGGATGGCCTAAACGACACAAGGATGAGTTGAAACTGTGACAGCGACAGAGAAAAAGCACAAATACAATAGTGAAATATTGACATCCGAGGAGCGAGCACAGAAATTACATAGTGATACTGATGACATGTCAGTACGCAGATCTGGGTAGTGCTTCTGATTGGTCATCCTGCGAGGTAAACTTACTTTAACCAATCAGAAGCACTTCCCAGATCTGCGAAGTAACGCCATCAGTATGGAATTGATTCCTGCAGTCGTTTCTCAGACCTCATTTTTTCGCGGAACCGGTGGTGGGGTCGCGAATTGTCAGCTGTTTTCTCCGGGTTAATTAAAAGACACTGAAATAACCGGGGCAACTGCACCTATTTGAAAAATTGTTTGTGATTGGCTGGGAAAACAATAGGGATTGTGACATAACAATACCTCTATCCCTAAAAAAAATGAAGTGCAGATTAAAGGGGACCAATGAAATAAGAGAATTAACTTAATTCTAATAAAAAACGCCTTGAATAACTTCTGAATGATGAGTATTTCGATTAGAAGAAAACCGGTGTCAACTCGGGGGGCAAATGTCCCATCCATGAAGTGTAAAAGTGTAATAGTTAAAAAAAACACGCTTAAAAAGCTACAGTCAAACGCTGCTTTAGGGACACCCGCTTGAAACAGACACTTCATTTTACTTTGTCCCTGGTGAAAGAAAGCCCCCTTTTCCTTAAATTTAACCCGCTTGATACCGGGACACCCCGTTAGTACGCAGACTTTCCATGGCCCCCTCAGTGTCGCGTGTTAACGTGGTTCGACTGTATTAAGTATTTTTATAGATCATTCATATGAATTCTCGCTATGTAGTAATTCAGAAGTTTCCAGAAACTACAAAGCTTTCTACTTTGACTGACTCATTTTTGATAGTCCTGTGACAAAGTGATGATTGCTACGTTCTTTGGACGCAGAATTTTGGTAAGCAATTCACTGTGCACCTGTGGCAGCGCCTATCCCCTTTCGTAAACAAGCGTTAGTCCTGTAATGACCTCGTAGAACCCTGCATGTTGTTGGACTTGTGACTCACTGTATATATCACTATATTGTTGATTATTTTTCATTTCAGAAGAGAAGCAGAAGCAGCGGCCTTGGCTGCAGCAGCTGAAAAACAAAAGGTAGCAGCTTGGAGTTTTATTCAGTTTACCAGTGTGCCTTACATGTTCCTGATCGCCCACATGTTACCTGGGCATAAAATCATAGCGTAGTCTTTCATCATAATTAGTTTGTATTACTTTTTCTGACAATTTCTTTTTCTTTCTTTTTAATACTTTGTACGTTATTTCTAATACAGTGGACTACAACTGTAATTGGTATGGTTCTTCTGTTCCTTACTCAGTCCTTCCCCGCTGCTCTCTGTGTTTGATTTTAATGACTTGTATGCAGTGAAAATGGGTTACAGTAAATCACATGTACCTTCATCAGAGCTTTACTAGTTTTTGTTCTTAAATTTTCCCTCCAGGCCGAGGCAGCTCGAAATGTGGCCTCTCAGAACGTTCCCTCAAATTTTAAAGACCTCATACAGAAGTTGGTAAGTGTCCGACACACGGACATCCTGTTGTTAATTTGTAAACAATTTTTAAAAGAACTGCCTGCATTTTTGATTTCCTTATGTAATATTTGTAGGTGGTACTGAAATTATATTTTTGCTGAAATGGAAAACAGCAAGATTACTCTTGTCTGTTATTGTTGTAACCATTATGACAATCCAAAAATCTTGTTGATCCGACGGCAGCACAGCCTTCATTATTCTGTGGCTCAGAGACCTCGACATTAATTGCAAAAAAAACAAAAACAAAAACAAAAACAAACAAAAGATGGGATGGACCCTAGACAGATCTTCTACGCAGAGGACGAACCATTGGTCAAAGCATGCAACGAGAGAGAGAATATAAGAGAACTCACCACCCATATCGGAGAAGGTCGTGTGCAGTTGTCTTCAGTTCACTAGACCACGCACAAGAGCAGAGGAGGAGTAGATATCATCACTTCTCCTTTGGTACGCTTACATCCCAATATGTTCAGGGAAAATCACGGACCCTCAGCTGTTTTCCTAAAATCCGCCATGCGGCACCACGTCTTGTGGGAGACTAGGTGCGAAGCATTCTGGCGCACGTCGAAGGACGATGATGATTGGTGCACCGGCCTCGTCACGTGATTTAATTGGGTCAAAGCGGTAAAATCGCGTTCTCTAGTAACTAAAATCAATTCTACGTGGACTGAAAATAATTGCGCTTCACAACCGTGTAGGCCGTCTTATTCATTCGGTCAGCGATCGTCATTTCTGTACAGGTTAATTGCTCTGCGTTTTTAAATTTCCTGAACTGCGTTTGTGGCCTTTGCTCGTCCATTTGTTGTTGTTGTTTTTAAGTTTTTTTTTAATGTTCTGTTTCTTACTTTCCAAAAGAAAACTAACTTTTCGTTGTCGTTTGTTTTTCATAGGCTGAAGACAACAATCTTTTATTCATGCCAATCCCTAACAGGCGCTTTGAAGGAAAAGCTTTGTATTCTTTGGGGAAAGTGACTTTGTACATCGAAAGAGGAGTTGTATTCGTACACACACAAGGAGTCTGGAAACCAGTGTCTCTGCAAGATTTGATGATGATAGCGAAGTGAAATTTAACGCTTAGAACGTAAGAAAATGAAGAAGTAGCCTCGTTTATTACGAAACGAATTCACTTTGTCATTTTGGGACAGTCGGAGAGATCACGGTCAAAAGCATTCACTGGAAATGGCGGGAAGTTTTCACAATAACTTCCCCGTAAGATTCTTGGTGCCATTGCGCTGGTGCGTATGAGGGAGAATGCGAAAATTAACCAAAGCGAAAGCAAAAACCTACAAGCTCTTGGTCTATGAGCCAAGAGATCCAACGATGAAGGATTGTTGATTCAATTTTCTCTTGCCAACAAACCAGGAGAGGTGTTATTCTCTGTTCTTGGACGTTGCTGGTCTCGTGGAAAGTTGGCCATTGACACGTGGGCATCACTCGTATCCGACAAGGAAGGGCGAAGAACCTAAAGAAAAATATAATGATACACCTACAGAAGCGTGAAACTTAAAAAAGATGCTTGTTCTCCTACAGAAGGGGATTGGCCTGAAAGGAAGAAACTGGACCGGCGCTCAAAACCCCTGCGCTCGCTTCAAAAGTGAAAGTTAAACCTCAGCAATTACCAGGATGGCTGTAGTCATTTGGCAAAAAAAAGGAAAAAATAGAGCTCCAAGAGGTTAACAGCTAAAAGATCGCTTTAGAGCGGTTTTCACTCGACTGTCGTAAAACCAAAACCAAAGTAAATACACTAGCCTACCAAAGGGCGTAGTAAAACCAAAACCAAAACCAAAACCAATCCCTTTCGACAGTCAAGTGAAAACCGCTCTATGACAAAACAGGAAAGCGGGAAAGACTAAAAAATGTTTTTTTTTAAAGAAAAAAACTGCGGTTGTTCACGTTGTTGTCGTTGATTGTTGATGTATCCAGGCCGGTGCATGCAGAGGTCAATTTAATAAAACTGTTGCAAATTTAATTTACAAGTGTGGCTATTGTTTTAGAGTCTGGAAAAAAAAAAGCTACACTTGAAACGTTTTATGAAATTTATCCCAGGTGGTTGCGTGGCGAGAGTTCAAATGCCTGGGCGCCGTCACGACGAACGCAATAATAATGCTTTTCTCCAGGGGCCGGATTCGGGAACCCTACTTTGTGAAGAACTAAGGCCATTTCCACTCGAATCCGGACATTTTTGAAACCCGCATACCCTTTCTCCGGCTTTGTGTGGACGGGGTCTTGAACGGCACCGAAAAGCGGTTTCAAAACAATGCGGTTTTAGTGATCGGATTCACTGGTATCGTGTAAAAAGTATGCGGTTTAAAAAATATCCGGATTCTTGCAACGACGATATTTTGCGCAACACAGCATTGCAATGTTGGAACAATGTTGCAACCATTTGAATTAATATCGCACCGATGTTGCAACGCTGTGTTGTTTGTTGTCATCGTTAGCATATCCTTACTTTGAACTTAACATTGAACAAGATAGAATACGCAAATCCTTGTGAAATAAGCAAAAATTGAATAAATTGAATGATTTTGCTCCTTTCTGCTAATTCCTGGTGAATTTTGAAGTACCGTAAATTCTCTATTAAGTTTCCGCGGGAGGCTTATTTATTTCAAGCCCATTTGAGGGAGGGCTTAATAGAGACGGGGGGAAGGGGGGCTTATTTAATTTAGAAAAGGCGATCGTATCAGTTTTCCACAAAGGACTAGGAAACAAAGGGGAAAAGCTAAAGTACAAGAAGCTCGGAGGTCATGCAGCCGATGATGAGAATCAAATCCGAACTTCTAGTTGGTAAATAAATCATCCCGGATCAGTCCACACGAAGTTTTACAGTCGTGATTAATTAATACAGTCTACTATCATTTATTATTAGTGAAGAATAATTAGGAGAGGGAAGGGGGGTGGGGCTTATTAACTTTCTTCACCTGAAAAGGGGGGAGGCTTATTAGAGGGAGAGAGGCTTAATCGAGGATCAATACGGTAATTGTCCCAGAGGACGTCTATTAGACGGGGGCCGGAGGGCGTCTATTCGAGAGGAGTGTCTAATACAGAGGGGGCGTTTAGTGGATAAGAGCTTGATCAGAAAGTTGACCAGAAGGTTGCACTTCGTTCTCCCTCTCCCCAGTCCCCTTTCCCTAGCATCCCCCTTCCCACCGCTCCCATTTTACTACTGCCATGCAGTTACTAAATGAGACGCTATGCAAACATAACTTGCCCAAGAGCTACAAAAATTCACTAGTGTCAGTATCAATTTAATCCCATTTATTAGGAAATTCACATTTTTATACATTTATTTTCTTGTTCTGCAAGCTGCCATGTCGATCCTGCGCTAAATCCAAGTTGCCACTTAGCCTACGTAGCTGGCGGAATTGTTTTTGCGGGAAGGTGAGTTCTGGCGGCGAAGCGACCATTCTCGCGGCTTTTACGCGAGAAGTGAGCGCCGAAGCGGGATGTCAAAGTGTCTCCTCCCCATTCTCTGCACGGCTTTGTATTTCCTCTACCAAAACTTTGCTC